GCCAAGATGAGGCATAATTTCATTAAGCTTGTTTTGAATAGAAAAATTATTGTCCTTCTTCTATTGCAACAATCTATGCATAATATTTAGCAATTTTTTATGCATCTGAAAACCAAACCATCCATAAACTATTGAATTGCTCCGAGTGCTTTTAACCATCTTCACAACTTCCTTCACTTTCAACCATGTTCTCTCCATACTAAAGGCTTAAGTCCACTTACGGAATTTTCGGTTTGCAAAAGTAATGGTACGTGATCTGAAGATAACTTTGCTAAAGCATTAACATGCACCAATGGATATTTCATAGATAAAAAACTTATCAATCTTACCCATAATCCAATTGCTAAAGCAATTATTAGCCCAAGTGAATATTGCCCCATTAATAAGAATATTAATCAATTCATTTCACATTATAAAATTGTTGAACAATCTCAAACTGGAATTAATAGAAATAGCAGTAGAAATTTCATCCGGCCAACTAACCATGTTAAAGTCGACGGCAGATTAAAAAAGATAGCTACAGAAGAAATAACTGCCAAAAATCATTCTGTCAAAGCATACAAATTAGGACCATAAACATTGAAAAGAACCCACCTATAACCCACACATGGACCATCAAAAACCAAAGCTATCAATCTTTCCCTAACGACCATATCCACACAAGACAGAACTGAAGAATCCCACAAAACCCATAAACCCCCAGAAGAACCTGCCTTATCTATCCCATTAAAACCCACAAACTCATCCTGTGGGTTTAGGAAGTTTAGTTTCTTGGAGCATTACAATTTCTGGCCTATGACACCTAACCAACATCAAAACCTCCATTTTCTTAGGAGCCTCCCCAAGCCCCCTTACGTTCTAATTAAGGATTTTCATATGGAACTGAAGATGATGTACCGTCAACCACCTGCCCATTCTCATAAGAAGTTATGCTTTCCTCATTGCTTTCAAAGTTGTGAATTTCTCTCTGACTATTCTCCATCAACTCCACCCCAACTGGAGCACGATTTGCTCGTTGCGACGCAATCGAAGACCAAACCCTTTTGCCCTTTGCCATTATCTATTTCAAGTCCCTTCTCATTCGTTGTACCATCTTGCATCTCAGCTATAACAACATCATTCTTTTTTTTCTTGAACATTTCTTTCATAATTTGTAAAAATTTTCCAAGAGGGACTTCAAATGAGGCCCCTATGTCACTGAACATTTCTGCATAAGCTTTGTTCCCCTTCTCAACAGTTCAGATATTCTCTAAATCATCACCCACATTTTCATGGTTAGAACCATCCCCCAAATCTGCAATCACTCTCGTAGACAGAAGTTGTGGAGGCTGGGCTCCTACCACTTCTCCATCCCAGCCTCCTTCAAGCTCCCCCACCAAAAGAAAGACACATCGATTCTTGTTGCCATTGATAATTGATAATATCACCTGGCATCCCCACATGATCAACCTCCCCCTCCTTGTTCCAAACTACCTTCTGCAAACCAAGCATCTCCGGTGTTGGCCTCAAGACTATCATTTTCATGCTTCTTCTTGTGAGCAACTTTACGAAACGGGAGCAAACTTCTCATCAGTCTGCAACAGAGGCCTGAACTCTGGTTTTTTTGATGAACTTAAAAGCAAAGAGTATCAATTCTTCAAACTCTTTTTGAGGTCCCTCCCACTCAACCAAATCGGCACTTTTAAGAGGAGGAACCCCTTCTTTATAACAGCCTCCCACCCTTTGCACAACCAATGAAATCCTGTTCACTCTCTTCATCTATCAAAACACCCTTACACTTGTCCTCATCAACCTCGATTTGGATCCTACTTTACCAAGTACCAACTCCTTTTTGTACTTTCCCAAGAAGTAAATCTCTTTCCTTATCACCGATTCAAAATCCCATCATTGACCTTTGTAATCTCTTTTGATTTATTTGCGGAGATATAAGGCTTACCTTTTTCTAATTTTGAAAGGCAATCTACTCATTCTAATCTAACCTGCATATAATCGTTGTGTTTATAAAATTTTCTAACAGGTCTCCAAGACATACGATATTTTTAAATGTCAACAAAACGACTCTTCCCTCCATCACCCACCAACTCCCTCTTGCCATGCCATGTGGCCAAGAAAGTTTGGAAGGTGTTCCCATCTGATCAGTCATGGCGTCGTTTGAGATCCGAGCCCTTGCAACACCAGTACTTTGAAAGTTCCTTTTGTTACTCTTACCTCTAACAACCTGCCAATCCTCTTTCCCACGATCATGTTGAATCTCTTTTTTACCATCCTTTACCCCTATTGATAATCGTTTAACCCCCCCAAGATTCAAATCTTAAAATGACATGTCAATCAAGAAATCATCTCCACCAATCCATAATCTTATTTTCCTTGGTAATGGGGACAAACTATTCCTGGTAACTTTTAATCTTACAAAAGAACTGTCAATACCTTTTAAGTGATTCCAATTAACACCAATGAAAGAACCACACTCAACACCCAACCTTTGAAAAACCCTCAAATTCCAAGCATGAAGCGGTACCCCCCAAAATTTAACACATTGAACGTATTTCGGAACATCGGAAACATGATCTGAAACATTCCATGGATTCATGGATAAAAGCTTACCTCGAATCCACCAATGTCTCCAAACAAGAGCATTATGTGCCTCTTTCGTCGATAGCAGATAGAAAACACACCGATTGTCTCCCATTTTCTTGACAACATGTTCATAGGACAAACCTCATGCTCTTTTTGCCCAATTGTTCAACTCAAAAAATCATTAGATAGGGGAGAAAAATATCCAACAAGCAAAGAATTAACATTTACCGTGAACATTCCCATTCCAAGATCCACAAAAGGGACATGACCTATCCCCTTCGCCTCATCATTCTGGGGAAAAACTGTTGGGGGAGCGTCATATATTGAATTGAAAATAAGGGGAGAAAATCAATGTCTTAATGTGGTGATGTTAGGGTAATATGAGGTTCTCATCCTTGGACTCCTTGTTTTGTTGTGTTAGGGCAGTCTGAGGTTGGCAGGTTTGGACCGCATTGAACATGTCTCTAGAAGGTGGTTCGAGGTTGGCATCCTCGGACTGCATTGAACATGACTCCACAATCCTACTTTGGGAAAAAAATAATAAAGTTAAAAATAAAAATAACAAATTGACCGATGATGGAATCCTCAAACCGATGGGCAATTTGAGAATAAATAAAAAATGATCTTTTGATTGACTCCTTGTGTAATTTTTGCCACAAAATGACCCATCTTGTATTTTATTTATGTCCATGTGTAAATTGCTAAAAATCAAAATCAATTTATATCATAGATAAGTGGCTACATTCCCAATGAACTACCAAAAAAATGAGGTTGTGGTTTGTATAAGACAGAGGATTTAAACAATTAAATAGGGTGCACCTTTAAATAGTGCCAAAATATGTTGTTTTACTATTAGAAATCTTTATGATTGAAATTTTATTTTTATTTCTAATAATAAAATTTAAAGTTAAAAAATAATGTAGATTGAGTAGATCTGTAAACACTTGAAAATATTGAAAATTGACTCTCTAGACACTATATTATAAGATGCACTATTTTCTATACTTGAAAACATTTTTTTTGCTCATATCCATACATCTTGAGGTTGAAATGATCGAAATGAGGATTTTTTCAGCATCGAAACAACCTGTTTTAATAAATTCTTGGCGTGCGCTTTAATGTGATTGTTTAGAGCCTAGCACTTAAATAAACTTTTTTCCAAAAAAAAGAAAAAAGTCCATTGACTTGGTAAAATGATAAAAAATGGCATTGGATATTAAATTAGGGAAATTTACATATGGATTGGGTTTTAGACTCGTTATAAAGAAATGGCCCGAAAACAGGTCGTTCTTACTTGGAAAGACGGATTTGCAATTTTTTTTTATTTTTTTCAAATCTGCCCCTATACTCTTGTTTAGTGAACTAAATGGTCCATTGTTAGAACCATCAAATCGCATTCAATTGATATTTTTTTAGATGAACTAAGCAGTTCGATGTTAAAACCATCGGACCACATACTAAGCAGTTCTTGTTAAGTTGAACCACATAATTCCCTAGACATTGGGCTCAATTCAAGCCCCAGAGGGGATCTTGACAAGGACTTCCCTTTTCAACTTGACATGGCAGCCTCCCATTGCACATTGTGAGCTTGGCCCCATTGTTTTGCTCATCAATTTGGGATTGACCAAGATGTATACATGTCATGATCTAGCTGAATAGCCCTCACTTTTGCCACTATCGAAAGAGTTAGCTAACACAATGGGAGTCAAGGGGCTTACTACTGCTTGCTTCACATAAAAAAAATTCAACAGAATTCGGTCCGATGATTCAAATATTAGACCGCTTGATTTACTTTAATAAAATCAATAGAATGCGGTCTGATAGTTCTAACATCGGATCGTTTAGTTCACCTAAAAAAATTAACATAATGCAGTCTGATCATTCTAACATCAAATCGCTTAATTTACGTAAATAAAATCACGAACTGCACGCAAACATGGTAAAAACCATAGAGTGTAGGGGTTTTTAAGCAGTCCATCGGGGGTAAATTTGAAAAAAAAATTGAAAAATTTAAAGATCTGACTTTTGAAGTAACAACAACCTATTTTAGAGACATTTGGCTACAATGAGACTAAAACCCGATCCGTACATAAATTTCCCATTAAATTAAGACTCTTAATTATGAATAATGAGTTGGGACAGGGAATTGATTCAAGGAAAAAATGAGATACGCCTTAAGGAGGCCTTGTTTTGGTAAGTAACCAAACCTAACCTCTTGAGTAGGCTGACGAGCAAAAAAAGGACAACTGGGTCCCCAACAATAACAACAGGAGTTGGACATGCAACAATAACAACCCTAAATCACACCCTACCTGTTCCCATCCAAAAAAGCCAAAATCCAACACGCCCTTCCTAAATTTAACGTAACAAACGATAAGGGAATTTTAGCAAGCATCAGAGCCGTCCGATTTTATTCACGTGGCCCGTATATCCGTGAATTTTCTGTACCGAAAAACCGTACTCCCTCTCTCCTCTGCTTCTATTTAATCACAGATCCCAATTTTCATTCCCACAATTCGAACATTTTGAGTTTTCTTTCTATCAAAGCCCAGGATCGGACGGTGATTCCCTCTCGACGACCATGAAGGAACTGATCCGACGGTTATCGCGTCTCAACTCTCCTCAATCCCTTTGCCGATCAGATTCCGGCGACCGCTCGCCGTTGATGGAAGGCTCAAAGGTTTGCTGTCCTGAAATTCAACTGTTAAAAGACCACCGGAAAAATGCAAAGAACAGGCAGAAAATTTGCTGGAAAAAAGAGCCAAAAAGTAGCCGGAAAGTTATGGAAATGTGCGTGCCGGTGCTCGTGGGAGAGGAAATGGAGAGCTTCGCGGTGAGCGCCAACGTTTTCAACCATCCGGTATTTTCCGAGTTATTGAAAAGATCGGCTCAAGTGTACGGGTACGACCATGTGGGGGTGCTCAGGATCCCATGCAACGTTGGAGTTTTCAGGCAAATCATGGAGGTGTTGGAGGAATCGGGCGGCTCAGATGATGTGATCTTTAGATTGGGTGAGCTCCATTTACTCTGAGTTTCTCTCTTCTCTGGTTTATTCACTTTTTTCTTTTTTTTCTTCGGTGGTTCATAATCTGTAGATATTAGAAGAGAGGGGAGTCATGGTTTTTTATTTTTTTATTTTACAGGAAAGGAGACGGCTTCCTCTTTTTCCATCATGTACGGGACTCAAAATGATGTATACAATTAAAGAATTTTAATTGATCAATTAATCTTTCCTGTCAGTTTCAGTTTCTTATGATGTGTATTTTTAGTTGTATGTTTAATTTTACTAAAATTGTTTTTTATTTTTTTTCGCATTTTTGGTTTTGGGTGGTTTTGATGCTTTTTTTGGCGGCATTAACGTAGCACAAGGTTTCGGATAAATGAAAGAAATTTGAGGCTGGCAATGGCCCAGGTGGCCTATCAGTAAAAAAGTAGGGCTTGGGCCATTAGGCCAGGCTAGGGGTATTAGGCTAGTTCAGCCCGGGCACATTTTTTTTTTTTAAATCATTTATTATCTTTTTTTTTTATAACATACAATTTTGAGGTGAAATTTGTTCAGAATTATCAAAAATCTATTTTTATATCTAATTATAAAATTTTAAACTCCTAAATGACTAAAATCAATTAGATCTATAAACATATGGAAGTCCTGAAAATGGACCGTCTGAAAAATGTGTCGTAAGATGCACTATTTTGGGATTCAATCTTTTTTTCTTTTATTTTTTCATATTCATACATCTCAATGTCGAGATGATCTATTAGAGGATATTTCAACATTAAAACAACATCTTCCTATGGATTTTTTAGGTACATATGTAATTCTACATTTTAAGATTGCAACCTCATATAAATTTTTTCCAAATATAAATTTTTAATGGAAATAACAACATTTATTAACTATAGTGGAGAATGATATTATCTACATGATGTGTGACATCGAAATCATTAATAGTTTTTTATCGTAAATAGAATGACCCTAACTTTTTATATAAATATCTATTTTACCTCTCCTCATTATGAAAAATACCCTAAAAAATGTTTGTTTTAAAGAAAAGAAGGGTAATGAACATAAAAAATGTTGAGCACGTTGAGGCGTTGATTGGTTCACGTGTGTTTTTTCTCATGTTTGGTAAACACACTTAGAAACCCTGTGTAATCAATTTCTCAAGGTACTTTTTCGATCATCCTCAATTGAAAAAAAAGAAAATAAAAAAAATAGAAGAGATCTCTCACTCTCTATATGCCTAAAAATATTGGCATTCCAAGATTGTACTAGGACTATCCAATTTTGAAGCGAAAGATCTAGATTTTTAATAACTCAGAATCTAAACTTTTTATTTGAAAATAATCATCTAGTTATGATTAGATGATTTCAAAACTTCAAATTAAAAAAAATCCTAAGCGTATTGCCCAAGGGAGTAAATGTATAGTTTACTCCTGAGGGCATAGTACGCCAAAATATAAAGTACTGTTTTTAAAGGATGTAAGACGAAATATAAAGAACCATTTCTCTAAAATTTCTCTCAATATTTGGACTTATGTATAGAATATGAAATATAAAGAACTATTTTTAAAGGATGAGGTTTCTTTAAGGCCTAGGATTTATGAAAACAAAATAAAGCCTCATCTCAAATCTTCGTCCGAAAAGCACTTTCGGCAAAGGAAATCCCATGATGGCTCTAAAATGAATTTCCAACAACAACAATAAAATTTGGAACTAAAAAAATTATACCGATCTTACAGATCTATAAATACTTAATTTTACAGAGAAATAGATAATCAAGATAATTTGTTACAATATACACTATTTTTATAACTTGATATCCTAATTTATTTTCACAAACATAATGTTCAAGTCGAGATGATCGATGCAAAGTTTTTCCAATACTTGAAGTGCAACTTTGGATGAATTATTGAAACCCTATCAAACCATTTTATATTTTTAAAATTCTAAAAATAGAGTAAGATTTCCAATGAATTTTCAAAACATCAACAATAGTTGTACTTCAAAAATCAGAAAAGGTTATTTTGATACTGGAAAATACTCTAATTGATTATGTCAACATTGAGATATTTGGATATAAATACACACAAAAATTTTGAGTCTAAAAAATAGCGTATTTTGTAACACTTTATCTGGACCGTTCATTTTGAAGATTTTCATTTATTTATAGATCTAGTTGATTTGAACTATTTTGGAGTTTAAAATTTTATAATTAGAGATGAAAATAAATTCTCAAACAATCCTAAAAAAAAATTACACCAAAATTACATCTGATGATAAAGTTTGGAAATGCATCCTATTTTGATTAATAAGGTGGCAACCTTATGCATACCACGCACAAATTAATTCCCATAAGGTCAAAGTACAATACACTGGACTAGACAATGAACCATTGAGTGGCATTGGGAAACCAATGTCCTGATGTGATGGAGAAGATGGTAACCACTATATACTAGGACCCAAATCATAAAGATGATCAAAGGAATTACGGACCGCTTGACATAGGGAATTTACAGCTTGGCTTTGGTTCAATACCTAGTTTTTTCTTTTTCAGTAAAAAAAATATTTAGGTAATTGTAGACTTGGATTTATATTTTTTTTTTTCTTTTTTCTTTTTTTTTTAAAATTTGAATGGTTGCGTCACTTTTAAAAAAATTACAGATACCCCTTCACCATAATTTTAGCCATACTGCCCCCTAACACAAAAATGTGCCGGACCCTTTTCATCTTTAAAATACGCCGGTCTAGCACAAGAATGTTCCTGGTCAGCTTTTAACAAAACATGTGCCGAGCTAGCGTCGTATATTAAAATTCTACGGGTCTCACAGAAAATACATCGGACCGGCTTATATTAAAAAAAATTTGTAGAACAAAAAAAACAATGGGAATATAATTTTTTGTAGCGCAAAGATGAGGGTTTAAAGTTAAAAAATGTGCGGAACATGGTACAAGGGTGTGTGGAATAATGTTTTTTTGGAAAACTCTATGTTGTAAAAGCAATTTTGATATTTTGAGGGGATATTAGGATAGTGATTATATTTTTGAGAGGTATAGAGATTTTTTATTTTATTTTATTTTTCCTACCCGTGGTTACTTGTTAGGTTGAAGATCTTACATCGCCTAGTTGTCCTAAAAATAATCCTAGATTGGGTTTGGCGCAAGTAAATGAATAATATGTTCTCCACCACACTAAAACCTTATTTATTCTAAATTTTAATTTTAATTTTTAACTCATTTTATTAATCAAATTTCCAAAATTTTATTTTTTAAATGATTCTAAAAATAATATTGTTGTGGTTAGAATAATAATAATATCTATTTTTCATAATTTAATACAACTATTGGGAAATGATATTTTACTTAAATGGACCCGGTTTCTATGTGGCCAAGCCCGCATATGAAATGCGGGCTTTTTAATAAATCTATTTTTGAGATTGATTTTAAGACTTAATTTTTTAAGGACATGTAATCTCTAACCTAGAGATCATGAATGTGAAAAAGTAAATAAATTTTAAAAACTAGAAATAATAATTCTAGTAAGAAAATATTTGGACCATTAGTTTTCATTGTTTTAGATGAAATACCTACTTGCATCCATCTTTAAGATGGATGCTTTACACTTTGCGGACCGCATATGTAGAAATGCGGTCCAGCCCGCATGAAACAATTTTCCTACTTAAATTGGGATATGTTTTATTATTAAATTCAAATTTATTATAGATAAGGTAATCATTTTAAGAAAATCCATACATTATTATCACAATAATAACTTTTGTTAGAAACTCGAAAAAAATTCAATTTTTTTTACAAATACGACCTAGGCTGGGGTTGGGTATGGGTCTAGAAATAAAATATATATACATCTTTTATAATTTTATAATGCATAAGTTCTATATATTTAAAAAATGAAAAAAGTTTATATAAGGTTGAAACTTTAAAATGTAGAACTACAGATGCACCTCAAAAATCCATCAAAAAATATTATTTTAATGTTGAAAAACCCTCTAATTGAGCATCTCGACATCGAGATGTATGATTACGAAAGAAAACATGATTTGAGGCCCCAAAAATAGTACGTCTTACAAACATATAATTAAGATTGCAACCTCATGGAAACCACACCCTTAAAAAATTGTGTTATGTATTTTATAATGCATAGTCACTACATATTATATGTGCCTTATACATCTGTAAACTGGGTGGCTCAGGGTTGACGCCAACCCCGAATGGACCTGACCTTGTAGGGGTCCAAGTTGGACCCAGCCATGTGCCAGCTCGGTTAGGATCAAGTTCAAGTGGACCCAAACCCAACTTGTTGGGTTCACTATTTGAATCCAAATCCAGTAAAATGTGGGGTGATCGGGTCAATCCGTTGGATCCGAGGGTCAACTCGACCGATTTCCCATACCTACTTGCAGCTAGTTCCTATGCCTTGTGGTCTCTTTTTTAGTGGAAATAATCATCCTGCCACAAGAGGTAAAACAAATTCCATACTCCATTCCAAGTAAAGTACTTACATCATTAATTTAAAGCACCTGGACTTTGACTTCGAAGTTAAGTTCTTACTTTTGTGCTGTGGTGCTCTCTGCTGATTTGATGAGTGGTCGAGAGGGAACCATTGGTGCTGGTTGCAGTCGATGAACCGGCATCCAATTCAAGTAGTGGCCTAAATGGTGGGACATAAGGAGGCGGCACCGACCGAGCAATAACCTGAGCTATAGTCTCAGTCCTAGGTCTCTCTGTGGGCTTAGTATGGGAGCATGCAAGACCTAGATGTAGTAACCGTCGAGCATCATCTTGGTCATATTTTCCGTGCAGTCGATGATCGACTACTTCTAGGACACGTCCTTCTCTATACAAGGCCCAAACATGGTCCACGAGTGTGGTGTGACAGGGGCGACGACCGCACACCACCTCAAGGATTACAGCTCCAAAGCCAAAGACATCAGACTCACGTGTGGCCTTACCAGTACTAAAGCACTCAGGTGCTATGTACCCTAGAGTGTCAGGAACACCATTTGCCTCCACATATGAGGTTTTCTCTTGGTCAAGTATGCGAGCGAGACCGAAGTCACCGAGACGTGCATTGAAGTCGGAATCGAGCATGATGTTGCTTGCCTTGAGGTCACGGTGCAATACCTTGTGGTCATACTCATCATGGAGGTAGTGCAATGCCGAGGCAACATTGCTAAGGATTTTGTACCTTTGATCCCAGCTTAGGCAGGAGCCATGCCCATGTAAATGTTTGTCTAGGCTTCCGTTGGGCATGCAATCATAAACCAAGAGAAGCATTCCTTTTCTGTGACCCCATCCTGAAAGTAAAAAGACTCTTTTCATTAGTAGGTAGGATTCATGATTCAAATGTCTCCAAATTTGGTCGAAATTTTAAATTTTCACCTGAAGCCACATAATATCTGATGTTTGACGACCAATTTTCCCATTATTATTGTTCTTGTTGTTCTTAATATTATTATTTTTCAAATGAAAGCAGAGAAAGAAAATTTGGGGATTCGAACATTGCGTATTTTGTTGTAGCCCTCAAAGCCCTAACCACTCTGCCCAAGGGCTTCGAATCTCAGCGATTCAGTTGGGATATGCCGTAATCGTCTTGCCTCTCTAACTGAACCTTTTAGGGGCTCATTGAATACTATAATTCAATATAATGTTCTGAAAGGTATTGGTGGATTCTCTTTGAAATCAGTCTATTCCGATGGATCTTAATCGGCTCCTTGTTCGAACCACATAAACCAGTAACTAGTTATTGGCGACGTATAAGATCTGAATTTGAGTGAACCAGTAAATGAACCTCGGGTTCGAATCTTCATAGACCCTGAGTTGTCCATGCTCGACCCATCTAAGAGATACATATGCATGGAGGAATGCAATCAATTAGGCTTTGATCCCAAGAGTGAAACATATGTTTTGTGCAAGGGAAGATAACGGATCAAACCCGTTTAAGTTTGTTCCAAAACCAAACAAAGAAGACTTGCCCTGTTTGTGATCCAGTCATCTCACGAAATGGTAAAGAAAAAAGAAATTTAAGAGTAAGTATAAGTCAAGTGTCAAATCGGCCAAGGGCCATGCCAGGGTAACAGGTTCAACTAGACGGTTCAACCGGCCTAATTAGATAAGTCTTGTTAAAAAATACAAAAAAATCGAAAAAACTATGAAAGTATATTTAAAAGATGATTAAACAAAGTACATTCAAATTAATGAAAAACTAGATTTTTAAAAATCTGATTTGTGCCCTTAGGTATTTTTGAAATTTTAAAAAAAAATATAAAAAAATGTAAAAATAAATATTAATGGCCAAAACACTTTCACGACAAATTGATGAAAAACATTACATTTTATAAACTGTTCCGATTTGCGGACACTGGAGACAGAGCAACGAGAGTTATTACCTTGTAATTTGACGAGGTTCTTGTGGCGCAGGCGATTGATAACTGAGAGCTCGGCCAAGAAGTCGTTTCTCCCTTGCGTGGCCTCTCTCGAAAACTTCTTCACCGCCATTACCATCTCTTGCTCTCCCTCTCTCTTCAAAACCCCTCTGTAAACACTCCCAAACCCACCCTGCCCAAGCTTCAACTCCTCCGCAAAACCACCCGTCGCTTCCTTCAATTCCCCAAACCCAAACTCCCTTGGCATTCCTGGAAGCCTCTTCAACGTGCTCTTAAAACTTCTCTCTTCAATTTTCACAAATCTCTTCCTCCTCCTGTGAATAAAAATCCCCAATAATCCAATGAATATCAGAACAAAAAAACATGAAATTCCAATAACCATCCCCCTCTTAATCCAAGAAGCCCCTTCAGGCAATTCATCGACAGATATCTCCCACTTTAGCACGCAGTTGAGCTCTGCGCTCTCTCCAGTCGAAGCCGAGAACCCAAAATATGAAGTTTCGCTGATATATTTCGATACGTCTATGTCGTAGGAAAGCACTGGAGTCTCAGGCTTCACTCCCTTTGCTTCCTTCTCTACAAAAACTTTTATTGATCGATTTGAGCCGTCATACTCAACCCAAGCTATGAAACTCGCACCATTTTCCTCTGTCAAATTCAGACCGAGAGGCGTAAGTGAGGCAGTCTTGATCGAAATAACACTGTTCACAACGACCCCAACGTGATTGTCGTCAGGATCAAAGCTTTGTTTAGCAGTGTCGAACTCTATCGCAATAAACTGGTTAACAGGATTCGTGTCAAGTGTGGAATTGGTGAGACCGAGCCACTGCCCATCGCTATTTGTTGGGATTTCGAAATCAAGGGCAATCATGAAAGCCAGGCCTTCGCTCTCTGGTCGACCCAAGCGAAAGGTGTTGAAAACAAAGGTGGAGTTGAAGGAAGCTACAGTTTTCGAAGAGGCAGAGGAACTCTTATTCTTCCATAGCCTGAAGGGCTTCTTGAGCATGACTCTTCCCGACTGGTACGGCTCACCGAGGCTATTTCCAAAGTTATCAGGCGTTACAAGAAGAACTCCTTGGTTGATCGTTGCGTTGTGCAGGAAGGCGAATTCCGAGATCACAGAGTAGTTGAAGGAGTCGAAGCTTTGAGACCATATGGAGTATGGATTTGCTGCCAAAGTTGGAAGAAGAAGAAGAAGAAAAGAGGAGGAAAGGATGATGGGTTTTCTCTCTCGGGAAGCCATGAATGATGCAGAGGTTGCCCTGCAACTAATGAATGAGAAATATTTATGTTTCCAAATCTTCATTTTTCTTCATTGATATCTCTCCCTATAGTTTATTCAAGTCATACTTTATGGTGGTCATATATTAATGGAAGTATCACTTACCTTTACATATATAAATTATTAGTTATTTCAGTATTTAGCTCAGCTCATCTTGGACGAACACCTAGCAGTTTCATATAGAAAACTTCTGTTTAGGTATGAATGTCATTCATGCTTTATAATTGTATCGTTACATTTGACCTTTCCTTGGCATGATAGTGTATTTTTTAAATTAAATTCAGATGTTAGGCATACATCATCATTCATCTTAAGCACAGTTTTCTTTGATTAGTGACTAAGCAACCAGTTAAGAAAAAAATATAGACTAAGAATAACATGCACCCTTTGGCCATGCGAAATTCATGGATAGGGCAAAAGGCCATGGGTTAAATACCTATGGAAGGAGCACTCAAATATATGGTAGTCCATGATAATAGAGGCCTGTCACAAAATTATTTAGGGAAACTTTGAAACAATCTTATTTTATTTCAAAATTTAAAAATAGTTTGGTATGTTTTATATTTGATACTCGCATATGCTCTCTACAACAGGTAAGAATGGGGTTTTATATATGGGTATTTTAGATCCCTTTACCATTCACCCAACAATTCTCAATATTGTTATGTTGTTTCTAATAATCTCAGCAATTCTCAGTATTATTAATGTTGTTTCTAATCATCTTCAGGAAAATACCTATCTTGAATGTGGAATGAGTGCTAATTCAAACCAACAAAATTTATACAAATAAAAGAAAAGCAAGAATTATACCAAAAATAGTCATTGAAGTGATTTCAAAAGGATGGGGAGATTAAATAATTGCATGAATAAAAAAAATAAGAATTATACTAGAATAGTCACACAAAAAGGAATTATCCCTATATCTCTTGGTCAATACAAGATGAAAAACTCTCGACGGATGCACAACTATCAATTGGTAATTACCATAACTAAAATACATAATGATTATATAAATAATACCAATGCTTAAGACATGGAATATTTATTTGCCTTTAGGGTAGTAATCCCAGAGCCATTCTTGTGCATAAATCAAAGCCTCCACAGTAGCTAGATGCACAGAACTACGATACCAATCTAGTACTAGGCCATCTGTGCTAAAGTCCAACTCTGAAGGGACGGTGGACAGAGGAATTGCCAGAATATCTTGAGCCAATTTAGACAAAATAGGATACATAGATGCATTATGTTTCTACCAACTTAAGATGTCAAAGGCTCTATATTCATCTCGAGGAAACAAATCATCATCTAAATAATGATCCAAATCTGACTTTTTCGAACAAGAAACTGAAGTTTAGTTGAGGAATTGGTAGAAGTTTAAATAGAACCCCTTTTTACCTCTATCAACCAAAGCGCTTGAACTCTCAATACTAAATTCTTTTTCTATATTAAAAGTAGAAACAGTCTAAATGAAGCCTCTTATTACCTCTATCAACAAAATTTACGACATACCGAACAAACTTTTATTTTTTTAAACCCCTAACAGGTGCTATAGCTGGTGCAGTTCTAAAAAGACCTGCTGTAAGTCCATGAATTCTAAGAAACAAACTTTGTCGATGCCCGTCTAAGAAACATACCTTTGGCGTTCAACTCATATGTTCTCTTCTGTATTTTCACCATGAACTCAAAAATGTGTTCTCATGGACTCAGATCCCAATTTAGTTCCACATTATCGGTCACCAAAAGCATTGTCATACCTGCTATACCATTGCAAAGCATTCTGCAATGGTTTTAATGAAACCATGAAAGGAGAAATCTATGAACTAGACGAGGTTCACTTTGTGAGGTGTCGTGTCTTGAGTAACTCACAAAAAGTTCCTGTGAAACAGAAAAGTGACTACATTTGTATTTAAAATGTCCTAAGAAAGTTACTCCCATGCGCTATATTGATCTGTAGTTTCTTTAATAAGTAGGTGGTTTGCCACAGGTAGATTACTTGCATTAAAATACTTTTAAACTATAGAAAGAGGATAATTTGTATTTGGGTTTGCTTTGCATAAGGGTGCAACCTTAAACAATTAAAGTAAGGCGCTCCTTCAAACTTTGTCATGAAATGCAATTTTGGTGTCAAAATTTCTTAAGATGACCCGAAAAATTATTTTCATCTCTAATCATAAAATTTTTAAACTCAAAAAATGGTTCAAATCAAGAAGATCTATAAACTCATGGAAAACTTCAAAATGGATGGCCCAGATAATATACTAATTTAAAAACTTAAAATCTTTTATTTTTTCCCATATCCGTACATCTCGATAATGAGACCAACAATTACATGTTTTCCAGTATTAAAAGAACCTTTTTTAATGGATTTTTTAAGTGCATCTTAATTCTACAATTTAAAGCGTCAACCTTTCATAAACTTTTTCCTTCATATTTCAACTATCCTGTTACAATTAAAAAGAAATAAATCGTACCGCTTGTTTATGTATAGAAAGGTCTTTTGTGCATGATCTTATTCATTATAAATTTGTAGAACTCTAAAAGGAAATTCACGAAAAAAGAATTTTATACCCTACTCTAAAGAGTATCTTCAATATAAAAACAACATCCTATTTTGGCGAAAACTCACCATTTTCTAGCTCAAAACCCTAGATCCGCTATTTATTTGATTTCTCCAAATTTTCTCACCCAAAATTCATGAAATTTGTGTAAAACAAAATACACATTTGAGCCCTCTAGCAAATATATATCACAATTTCTCCACTCAAAAACCTTGATCGAAGATCAAGAGTCAAAAGTGTTGAGTTTTTTCATTCTTAAAAAAAAAAACATTTTTGTTCTTGTCAGGCGGATTTGAAATACACCAGTTTTGGGATGGATTTGTCGTCAACTCTACCTGTTATGGGCAAATTTGAGATTGTTTTGGGATCCAAAAATTTTCTTCCTTACATTCTTTTATGGGGAAGCTTTCTATGCTTCTTTACATTCCATTCATCCATTTTTTTACAGCATGGAAGTTCTATTCTCTTTTTTAGCCAACCATCCATTTCAAATGGAGGGCTAAGATTGCCCCAATAACATTGTCACATCTCTACACTATTTTATTTTTAATTTTTTTTCTATTAATTATTTTGATACCAAATTTTGGACGTCCATTCCTCTATTAAACTCTAACCAGCGAAAAAATATAAAAAAAATATTTTCAATAAAATAAAATGAGCCAAATACTCCGAAAAGTTTAAAGGGATATTTTGATCATTATATTTTATCAAAAAATTATTTTAAATATTTTTTATAGGTGCGCTCCTATGAGAAGATGGCACGTACCAAATTTTATATTCATACAATTTGTATAAATAAAAAAAAATACTTTGAGACTTCGGATCTAAAATCAAACGGGTGGCTCTCTTGATCAAAATTGGATGGCTAGATGGTAGGGGAGGATAGAACTTCTATACTATAGGGGAAGCATAGAAACATTTCTTTTCTTTTATTTATTATATTGTTTTAAAAAATTTATTTTTTATTTTTTGTTTCGTATTGAGTTGATCAAGCTAACTCACCTAGTCGGCTCGAAACAAGTGGGTCACTGGTTCAACCCACTTGTCTGCATTTTTAAGCATTGGTTTTACTTGTAACTCTTACATCTCTTACACAGGCTGGACCATATTTCTAGATAAGCGGTCCAAAAAGTGTAAAACATCTATCTTAAAGATGGATGCAAGTACTTAAGATAGATGCAAGTAGGTGTTCCATCTAAAAACAATGGAAACTAACGGTCCAAATGTTTTCTTACTAGAATTATCATTTCTAGTATTTAGAATTTATTTATGTTTTCATATTCATCATCTCCATGTTAAAAATTACATGTCCTTAAAATTTAAGCCTTAAAATCAATCTCAAAAATAAATTAATTAAAAAGCCCGCATTTCTACATATGCAGGCTTGGCCGCATAGAAACCGGGCCCGTTTGATGATCAAGAAATTCAGAGAAAGAAGATGTATTTTACGATGATGTAGCTTTCCCCGTTTTGTTTTAGGGGAGAGCTAGAGGAAAGAGGTAAAAGTAACTTTCCTTCTGAAGTGTTTTGATGGGCTATGGCTTTCATTCAAATGTTGCTCAATTAACTATTATGCTTCCCCAATATAATATCATATACAAAAGCAAATGATAATAAATATAGGACAAGCTTTCTATGTTTTTTCTACAACATAAAACTTATATACTTCTTTTTATTCGACTATATATTTTAAATGGACGGTTAAGATTGCCCCAATCACAATGTCATATCTCTACACTATTTTATTTTTCTTTTTTTTTTCTATAAACTATTTTGACACCAAATTTTGTACGTCCAATTCTCTATTAAACTAGCACTAGTGAAAAATATAAAACAAATATTTCTAATAAAATAAAATAACCAAAATACCCTTGAAAGTTTTAAAGGGTATTTTGGTCATTATATCTTATCAAAAATTTATTTATAATATTTTTTATAAGTGCACCCAATTGAGCAGATAACATGTACCAATTTCATATTCATACAATTTGTATAAAAAAAAAACTAAAAATAATATACTTTGAGATGTCAGATCTAAGATCAAACAGTGAATGACTCTCTTGAATAAAATTAGACAGCTGGATGGCAAAGGAAACATAGATCTTCTATGTTGTTTTCCCTTAAAAAAGATAGCAATGCTACCCTAGAACCTACATACTTTGCGTAGACCCGAGTGGGTAAACACCATCGAAGATATTTCTCCTCTTACTTTGTTTCACACTCTTTTTTACCACCTTTTTTTTTCTTAGTGACAAATATTGTTTTTGTAATATCATCATTGAAAATTTTATCGTGATACTATCAGTTGCATATGTTTCACGAGGTATTTATTAAAAAGTTAATATATGAAAGTTATATTATATTCCTTGACTCCCTTTCATGGAATAAATGCAAACTCCTTATAGGCGTGTTTGATAACATGAAGTTAGGGGATGAAGAACGAACTTCCCCATTACTGTACAAGTTCTGTGTTTGATACACAAACTCATACAGCAAAGA